TATCTCAAAATCCATGTGTCCAAACGGGCATTCTAAAAGTATGTTCCATCTCTATTAAAAATATGTTCAAACTCACAACATCGAGAAAATATTAAAATATGATTTTTGAAAAAAAAAAAAAAAACGTGAAATACAATCCTAGGCTCCACTAAAATATAGCTTCATTCTCCATGATGAATGGAAGACTAAAACATAATCGAATTTAAAGATAATAGAGGTATGAAAGAAATATTGATCCCTAATCCCAATAGAGTCTCAATGAAAGGAAACATATAACCATCTTTCTCTCACTACGGGACCAAGCCTTCACCATGGTCACCGAGTTTCTGAAGAACAAAAGCTCTGTATCTCTCACTAACTCCATGTCGTCCTTTTGATATGTCATGTTTCAAAACATATTTTTTTGTTGGAATGATCGACCGACCTACCAAAACCATATTCTAAACACGTCTTTATCGCATGGTTCTTAATTAAAATTTCTTTCATAAAATCAGAGTTAGCACCCTGCAATTTCATTGTATCAAAAGTTCTCTGTGCTACTAATAGTTGAGAATGAACAACTAGGTGCCCCCTCTTTGCAAAATCATACAAGAACCCCGAACCCTCACCCAATAAAACATAATTTTGAATATTCGACCTCTCAAAATGACACAATAAATTCATGGCATTTGCCTTAGAAATCGTATACTAACCCACGATTATTACAGTCCTGTTTCTGCAGAGACAAAAAAAAGGGAACCCAATTCGCCACTATCCCATAACCACTTCTCCAAAGCAAATACTAAACCATTTTAGGTCTTTTATTATCTAATGTTATATAATATAGTATAATATAAAATAATATAATATTTATTAAAATGTTATTTATATATTATATAATATATATCATATTGTAAATAGTAAATAATAAATAGTGAATAATGGGTCCGCGTGCGTGAAAATAAAAACATGGTGAATGCTTGCCTACTTCAAGAGGTGAGGTTTTGTTTTATCATGAATTAGACTATTTCCATATGCATTACGCACCAAACAAACATATGAAATGCAATTTTCACATGAAAATATTTTCTGAAAATGTATTTACACGCGAACGAAATGCACCCTAAGTGGATTTGTATAGTTAAATGAATGCAGCCAAAAAATGTTAAAATTACATCATTTTTAAGTTTCAAAATTTATTCATCTTTCCAGAGCCATAATCGTTACGGTCAGTGTACCTAGACTCAGCCGAGTTAACCAGGCGAGGCCGAGTACCCCGAGTTGTATGTACAACTTGGGGCATCTAAAAAATTATAAAAAATAAGGATATGTTTTATAAAATTTTCTTACATGATTTAGATGTATTCAACAAATATTGGTGAAGTAGTTTTTTCCATAGGGAAATTGTTTCATGTGGGCTGGACCGCATTTCTACAATATGTGGTCCAGAGGTTTAAAGCATCCATCTTAAGGATGCAAATAGGTGGTTCATCTAAAAACAAGTGTAACTAACTGTCCAAATGTTTTTCTAATATAATTATTATTTCTAGTTTTCAATTTTTTTATACATTCATGATCTCCATGTTAAGGATTATATATTCTCTAAAAATTAGGATCAAATTATATTTAAAATAGATACTTATTTACAAGCCCGCATTTCTACAATATACGGGCTGGCCACATAGAAACCGTGTCCTTTTCCATAATCACAATTTTATTTTCATTTTTTTGGATTTTTAAAAAATATCATGTATGTTGGGCATAATCGAAATTAATTAGTGATTTCTAATATTGAAACATTTTGCAGTGTTGTATCTTTCTTCGCAAGCAAAAAACAGAAATCCTAAAATTGAGCATGGTCGAACTCTTCTATTAATTTCCAGCTTTGATAATTGTTTAAATTTGTGTGATTAAAACTAAATAAAATATACAGCTTTTTCTTTCCTTGCAAGAAAGATAAAATCATACAAGTCAACAAAAAGTTTGAATATTTTGGACCACGCATACCATGCTCCCGCAGGTGCATTGTTTCAAATGATCTGCTTAGGAGGATTTTTTTAATCTGAAATTGTGGTAACGACCTTAGAATCACTAGATGATTAATTTTCAAAAAAAAAATTAAGTTCTCAAACACTTAGATCTCACTATCTAAAATTTAGAAAGTTTCTATTCAATCTTGAGACATTATTTTTTTCAGGTGTTTAGAAGGTGCAATTACGAAATTTTCTTATTGAGATTAATCTATGTGTTAAAAAGATTATATCCGCAAAAATTGGGATCCTAAAACTAATCCTAGGTCAAGTTTTGAATGGATAGTATACTTCCGAGGGAATAGCATCCCCTTTGGCTTTTCTTTATTAGAATTTCCAATAGTGAAAATAGATAGAGATAAGATTTGAATTCCTTATTTGATATATAATTCAAGATTTCTATTTCAATATCTTATTTTAGATTCACGCAAGTAAAAATTTATCATATCTTAATCAAAACCATATAGGATAATTATGCTTCTAAATTGAGTAGGATTCCGAGTTTTAATTTTGAATATGATAGATTCCAAGTTTCCCAGTATTTTGTCATATCCATTCTTGGATAACTTGGAATCAAACCAATTTAGGACTCTACTTTATCAACTTTAATGTCCAATTTAGGGTTCTTTCCTAAAACATAGAAAAGATAAATCAATAAATAAAAAAATCCTCCCATAAATCTTTATCTCTCATGGCTCCTATTTGATGTAGGAGTCCTTCTCTATAAATTCAATGTTGTATTTTTTCTTTCAAAAAAATATTCAACGTAATATCTCTCCTTGGACGTCTCAACCAGTTTCAACAAAGGCATCTCTTTGGCCAGTTTTCTCTTTTTACATCTCTTTGGTGAGCCTACGCCAGTTTTAGTTTTCTCTCTCTACAATTTGGTGAGCCTACGCCAGTTTTCTTTCTGTACAGTTTGGTGAGCCTACACCAGTTTTCTTGCTTTCTCTACAGTTTGGTGAGCCTACACCAGTTTTCTTGGAGATCCTACGACAGCTTTCTCTCTCTACAGTTTGGTGATCCTACACCAGTTTTCTCTCTCTACAGGTTTGATGCTCCTTCTTAATACTACTATTGATTTTTTATGATTGTTTATGTTCATGGATTACATATTCATAAAAACGATAAAACTTTTCTGAATTTTGATGCTAGATCTTTTATTTTGAATTATTGCGCTTTTTATAGTGTGAATTTTGACGCTGCTCTTTTATTTTAAGAAAATTTTTAAATAAGGTTGCCACTTTAAATTGTAGAAATAAAGATTAACATCAAAAATCCATCGTAAAAAGTTGTTTGGATGTTGGAAAACCCTCTAATTGATCATCTCGACCTTAACATCGAGATGTATGAACATGAAAAGAAAAAAAGATTTAGAGTCCGTGAAATAGTGTATCTTGCAACACATCATTTGGACTGTCAATTTTCAAGATTTTCACATGTTTATAGATCAACTTGATTTGAACCATTTTTAGAGTTTAAAATTTTATAATTAGAGATGAAAATAAATTCTCAATGCATCCTAAAAAAATTTTATAACAAGTTACATATATGATAAAATTTAGAGTTGTGCCTTATTATTTTATTAGTGCTTATAAATTTAGAAAAGCTTTGTACGTGACTCCACCCACTATATGTGACCTTTGGATTGCTCATCTCACAAGCCAAATAATGTATGGTTTTAAAATTTTTTCAAAACAAAACTTTTTTGAGTGAAATTTATGGTGTCCTAGCAAAAATTTAAAAAGTATTTCTTATGAAAATAAATGACGAAAATACCCCAAAAGTTCAGAGGCACTTTGATAATTTTTCTATGACACGAAATATTTTAAAGTTTATCATGTGTACCCCTGTGCACACGTGTAAAATAATTTATAGAATAAAGATCAAAATCATTGTGGGATTATTGGTCCTCATTGGCTATTTTTGTCGAATTATTTCTATTTATGTGATTTTTCTTCTGCATCGCATGAACGCCCAATGATAATAATTGAGAAAAAATTATAAAGAAAGAAAAACTTACTTTTCCAATAAAATAAATTAGGTTTTTATGAAGGTGTGTATTTGAATAAGCACCTTGACCTTTTCTTTTTTCTTGAGGAGAAAGCGATTTAAATATTATACTAAGGGTGCATCTATCATTTAAAGATAATTCTTGTTTGCTCTTTCCCCAAGTCTCTCTCCAAATATTATATGGGATTCTTCTCTATAATATGAGGAAGGAAACTCCCCAAACAATTTATTCCTTTATCTCCGTATTGGGCCCACCTTACTCATAAAAATAGGAAAATAGGAATAAGATTAGGAGAATTGTTCGGTGCGTCCAAACCCGCAACTATTGTTACGCGTTCTGTGATAAAGAGAGTATGGATCTACACCTTAAATAATAGTCCTCCAAAGAAAAAGTCCAAAATACATCATTTCTAGTTTTTCAATTTTATTTATTTTTATAGCAAAAAAAATAACAAAAAGATGCTAATCTCGATTTGGGTTTTAGTTGATCCTAATTTCTTCATATGTAGCAAAAAAAAAAAAAAAGACTAGTTTCTTCAGTGTTTTTGTGGTTATATGCTTTTGATCTTAACTTTTTTCTTGAAAGAATTCAGAAAATCCATAAAAGAAAAATAGAAAACAAAGCTTACAATAAAAAAATTCATAATTCATATAAAAAGACATGAAAATTCTGCATAATTAATTAGTGATTTAGTAAAAAAGAAAATTAAGTTTTTTTGTATGCTCAAGTTCGTACTGAACTCGCCTCGGCAGGGTGCTGCGGCCGAGTTAGTCGGCCAAGTCCGAGTCGATTCGTTTAAATCACTTTCAGGAACCAGTGATGGATATTGCTGTGATCTACTGTATACTGTAGTTTTTTATTTCCTTTCTCTACTGTGAAGACTTGTTGATGATTTTAAATGATCTGCCTTTCACATGTTAATAAAGAAATTTTGTGCTCTGTTTAGGTGATTGAGAAGTAAAATTTTTTATCTATCGATGGGTTCCACACAGGTATGTCCTACAAGCTTTGTATTATTCAAACAATTGTATTTCTTTTATTTTTATAATCAGTGTATTGCACCATTTTTTTTATTTTTTTTACTGAAGTTTTCATTTTCTATCAAATAGCTTAAATTTACTCAGGAGATTCGTCTAAAAAAGAGATTGTTGTTGTGGGTTTTCTGCTGTTGACTTACATATCTAAGTATGTTATGGTCACAAAAATATCAAAAGGATTCTAGTTATTGTCAGCTAAGTTGCATAAAGTGTTTTATTGTGGATCCAACTGTATTCATGGAGATGAGTATCTTGTCAGCTATTATTGGTTTGGAAAAAGTTTATATAAGCTATCAACTTTATATTGTAGAAATAAGGTATATTTAAAAAACCCATCGAAAAAGGTTGTTTCGTCACTAGAAAATTCTCTAATTGATCATATTGACCTCAATATATATTGATATGAAAGTAAAAATGAATTTCCACTGTTAAACATGCATTGTATAATATATTATCTAGATCATTAATTTTCAAGATTTTTAAGTGCTTATAGATCTGCTAGATTTGGGCCATTTTTTGAGCTTTCAATTTATTATAAAGGTAAAAAATAGATTTTTAAGCTATAATAAGAGTTTTGCTACCAAAAATACATCTTATTAAAAGATTTGGAAGTGCGGGTTACCTGTGACTGTTTAAGGTTGACACCTTATAAAAATCTCACCCTATTGGTTTTGAAATCTTAAAGGCTATCCTAATATGAACCTTTTTGCCTTAGTTATTTACAGTGTGGTGCACCGATATATATATAAACTAATCCACAACATCAACAGTTTTCTTTTTGACAATGAATCAACAACATAATAATCCATCCACACATACAGAACTCACTATGGAGAGGGCTATTTTTATATATTAGTAATGTAAGACTTCCACTATGTGTTTGTGTCACTCCTTTCATGGACCTTCTGATCAGGGGAAAAAAAATTTAAAAAACAATGTTTTTGCCTTGGTTTATTAGTTTTCCAAACAAAAAGACATCTATTCAGGCCATCCAAATTCGCACTTAATGTACATATTTATAATTTTATGAATTCAACATTCAGTAACCTCTTGCAAGCTCCTATGCACTTGCCTATTCATATTGAAGCATTTGAAAATTTCTTAACCTTCTTGCTACTTGATTCGACCTCCTTACTGGAAGGCATATGTACTTCCTTAGTTCTTATGGAACATCAAATTCCACATTGCTCATGAGGCATGCATTTTTCCCTAAGCTATATAATCAGAAAGTATTCTATAATAGTGCAAATTTATAATTATGTTTATATCACAGAGCAATATTGTATTGGACATTATTGTAATCGTATGTGTGCTGCCATAAATGAAGCAGTGTAAGTTTAGTTGATTTGTTTTACAAATAGGGTTTATCTGGAGAACAATTGTTTCATGCGGGGCCGGACCGCATCCAGAAGTATAAAGCATCCATCTTAAAGATGGATGCAAATAGGTGGTCCATCTAAAAACAATTGTAACTAACGGCCCAAATGTTTTTTTAATATAATTATCATTTTTAGTTTTCAAAATTTATTTATTTTTTTATATTCATGATCTCGATGTTAAAAATTATATATTCTCTAAAACTTGAGATCAAATTATGTTTCAAAAATATATTTATTGCCAAGCCTGCATTTCTACATTTCAAAAATATATTTATTGCCATGCATGCTAACCGCGTCCTTATCTGAATTCACTAGTATTATTGGACCTTTGCTTACATTTGTTAATATTTTGCAGGGTTATGGAACTGATGAATCTGACTCTAGAAACGATGAATCTGATCGTTTGGATGACTATGGATTTGATGAATCAAATTTTAAATGGACCTATCGTTGTTATAATGCCGTTAATAAGGTTTCTACTTTCTCATTTTCGCTCTTTTGTATTTCTTATCATGCAGTAGGTTATCTGCAAGTTTGTCTTTGACTAGATATACATGTCAATTGTATAGTTTTCTCATCCAATCACCTTGGTCTGATTCCATGTATACTTTTGTGTTTGAAATAACTATTCGCAAAAATTCCACCTTGGTTCTAGTAGCAAAAACATATGGATATAGTTTTTATGTTTATTATACTTTCTTCAACATAGCAACAAGTCCTTAACTTTCCATACATGCTTAACTTTAGTCCTGATGGGATCTGGTCCATCAATGCTTGCCAAACTCATTGCTATCTAGTATTATCAACAAATTGTCACATCATAGTCGACATATTCCCAAAAAATATTCCCAAAAAATAAGTCAAATTAATCCCCTCTGAGTTTTTAGTTCTAGAATCTTGTTCTCTGACTTGTGCTTTATTATCGATACGAATGTTCTCTCTTGCTTGTTTATTTAATATTTCATTGTCGTAACTCTATTTTATATCGTTGTCTTTTCAGCCTCAGGTAGAAAGTGGGGATAAAGGTATGCTCTCTTGAAATCCAACTTTTTTTTATACTATTTATCATTTTTTTTTTTTCTTTTTCTTTTTTTCTGTGTCTTTGTTTTTTTTTTTGAGTCCTAAATTTGGGTTTTCTGTTTTCTTGAAAATTCCAGTTATATTGCCTCAGTCTGCACTCCATAGTCTTGGTAAGCAAACCTGTCTCTTTCATATTTCCATTGCATCTCTTTCATATTTCCATTGCAGGCCATGGTTTCTTGATTTTTAGGTAGAGTTGCTTAGTTTATATAGATATATAACTGTTTTTTTTTCCTCTGTTCTTTATCTTTGATGCTTTTGTTTCTAGTGGATGTTAGTATTGACAATATTAAATGCACGATGCTATGTTTTTTCTACAGCAACTACGCATATGGAATACCCCATGTTGTTTGAGCTTTGGAATCCTTCCACGGAACATGTTGCATATTGTGGTGTCTTAGAGTTCACTGCTGAAGAAGGCGAATTATATATGCCCAATTGGGTACGTATCTTTTGAATTCTAGTGTAACAATGTATCTAGTAGTTGCAATTACTACAAAGCAGGACATGAGATGCTCTTGTCTTAGAATACTCTCTTTACTATTCTTTTGTAATTTTTTGACTTTTAGATGATGGAGAACATGCATTTACAAGAGGGCGATTACGTGGAAGTAAAGAACGGCACCCTTCGAAAGGGGACATATGTGAAACTGCAACCTCACACGAACGAATTTTTGGATATCTCAAATCTAAAAGCCATGTAAGTAAACTGTAATAGTATGATTTCATCATTGTAATTGCTTCTAATTGTGCAAATTTATACATTCTGTGTTTCAGTTGTACTTGCCATTGTTCATGCTTGTTCTAAGATGGTGGTGTTAAAGTTGGTTTGGCTTAGATATGCTGGGTTCCTGTTTATCTAGAGTAAACCATTATACAATTGGACAAACTTTCGATGAATTGATTGTTATGGGTAGTTTGGGAAATGGTTGGTAGCTTGGTTTCAGATTACGCGGTCTACGCTCTAGTATTCAAGACTAGCTAGATCCAAACTTGATTGGCAAGTCTATTTGGTGTGGAAGTTTACACCTTTGTTTTTGTCATATGTTTTTGAATGTTTTCTAGGCTACTAGTCATCATGATTGGGGCTTGCTTCTTCTTTAATTTCTTGTGTTATGGAAATTCCATTTATTTTTTATTGTTCTAGTTTTATATAAGATATATGGTATACAAAATATTTGCATTTCTAATTACCTTGAGTTAGCTTTAGTTAGGTGAACAATGAGTAGATCCTTCATTTTTTTTTTTTTAAAAAAAAAAAAAAAAGTATGACCAAATCCTTCAAGTAATTATGTTTTTGTATATCTCTCTTCTTGTCTGGGTGTGCTAAAAGTGCTCTAACTTCTTTTACAGCTAGTAGTGTAGATATTTTGTTTAAGATGGAGTTTATAATCTGTTGGAAGTCGTATTGATTTGATCATATTAATTATTTGCATGGAAAATTTTGATTTTTGCAACAAAAAATAAGAAATATACAGTTATAAAAAATTGTAAGTGGAATACAGGCATAACTACATAGAAATAGAAGGAAATAAATGGACACGACTCCATTTGTAAATTAATAATCTTGAAACTGGTCATTTATCAAGTTATTTATTTTCATCCCTTATACAAGGGTATGGTTACTTGCTTGAAAGATTCAACTTAACTTGTTTGGGTAATTGTCTAAAAGAGGTGATTCTCAAAAGCTCCTCTGACATTAGCAACAATGTACTCTTCATTTGGTGGCAAGATATAGTGGACTAGGTGTGGTTCACTGTAAAGAGTGGCATGTACTATTATTTTTTCATATGCATTATTTTTGTATGAGGCAACCGGCTTATGAATATTGATCATCCAAGAGTTGCTTGATAAGCCCATATGATACATAGAGGGGTTGAGTGACAAAAGTCTTCTCCCTATCGATTCTTGCAAATTGATTGTTTAGCAAGTTACATGCCCTTGAGTTGTAGTCAAATTTGCTTTTAATGTGAAATGAGATGCAAAAGAAGTATTGGAGCCATTAAATTGGTTTTAAACGTGATACATTTTTTAAAGGAAGAAGCAAAAGGGAGCAAAAATATTTGGTTTAATCTACTCCATTGTCTGACGAAATCTCTAATCCCTTTTTTCTGTCTTTTTACAGTTTAGAAACTACTTTGCGGAGCTTCACTTGTTTAACCACTGGCGACCGCATTATGTTGGGCTTCAATAATAAAAAATATTACATAAACATTGTGGAAACGAGACCAACTCCAGCCGTCTGTATTATTGATACAGACTGTGAGGTAGATTTTGCTCCCCCTCTCGATTACAATGAGCCACAAAGATCTGCTACCACTCTCTCATCAAGCCAGACACTTGAGAAAGGTTTCTCAGGTTTTTTTTTATTCCTTCTTTCTTTTCATTTTACTTTCTCATGTCTATTATTATTCTTTCACCAAGCCAGGCACCTAAGAAAGGTTTTTCCTGATTCCTCTTTTCTTTTCATTTTACTTTCTCTAATCTATTATTACTTGATCCAATTATGATCCTTATTTATGCATCCTATCCAAATGTTTTTTTACTAGAATATTTCTAAGACTCCTAACTTTTGTTGTTCTTTATCCAAAGCTAATTTCTTTGAATTTGTGATGTTCTATTGTGCTATCCGACATACTCTTAAAGAGTGTTATCCACTGTCCACATTGAGATTCCATTCTTTTACTTTAGGATTTGTTAAAGACTATGACTCTCTCAAATAAGAAAAGTCTTTATCTGTTTTGACTGAATCATTAATCTTCTCTAGATTCTTGGACATCATTTCTTAAAGAAAGAAAAAAATATTGTCCTTTTTCAGAAAATGGTAGTTGAATGGAAGGATGCGGCGAATAAACAAATTGAGTTCTATAAATAAAACATCATGAATATAATGGATTGGATGCTCTTGTCTTTCGAGAACCTTTGTTCAGAAAATGGTAGTTGAATAGAAGGATGCGGCGAATAAACAAATTGGGTTATGTAAATAAAGCATCGGGAATATAATGGATTTGGGTGCCCTTGTCTTTCGCGATGTAAGAATAAACAAATTGAGTTCTATAAATAAAGCATCAATATAATGGATTTGGGTGCTCTTGTCTTTCGTGATGTAATGCTTCTCTTATTTTCTATCTTTCAGCCAAAGAAGAGCTTTCAAAGGAATTTGAGAAGTTCATCCCTTTTACAGGGGTTGGAAGGCGTTTAGATGGAAAGCATTCTTCCAACATTCAATCTCCCAATCCTTCCAACCCTTCCAATCAGAAAGAAGTTCAAAAAGAAGCCCCTAAGGAAGACCTCTTAAAGGAAGCCCGTAGGGAAGACCTCTTAAAGGAATTTGAGAAGTTAACCCCTTTTACTGGGGTTGGAAGGCGGTTGCATGGTATGCATTTTTCCAACATTCAATCTCCTAACTCGTCTACTAATGTTCAGAACCCTTCTACCAATATTCAGAAAGAAGCCCTTAAGAAAGAACCCAAATTCCAAGCATTTTCAGGCAAAAATTACAGATTGAGGGAGTGAAACTCACTGTGAATTCATTGTTACTTTGTATTACTTTTTTATTATCAATTAGAATTTCATTTCTTCCCTATTATCCAATGTCCAATGTGGTCTGATCATGAACGTGCTTGCACAATTAAATAAAGATTATGGCAGGTTTTTTCAAATGAAAGGAGTCCATCGATGAATTGAATAAAAATTCAACACCTGCATTAAAATTCACTGCTTTGGATGTGATCTATGATTCTCGTGAGATAGGTCTCTGATCTCATTAGATCATAATTTTAGATGTTATACACTGGACTCCATTAGTTACCCTTTGGACCACACCATTACTGTAGAATACGAAGTGTGGATTTGTAGTTACTAAGTCGGGAACTAACAATAGGAGCTGGTTATGTAGAAATGCGGGTCTCTTAATAAATTTATTTTTGATATGGATTTTAAGACTTAATATTTAAGGATATATAATATCTAACATAGAGATTACGAATATGAAAAAATAAATAAATTTTAAAAAACTAAAAATAATAATTCTAGTAAGAAAACATTTGGACCATTAGTTTCCATTGTTTTTAGATGGAACACTTTCTTGCATCCATCTTTAAGATGGATGCTTTATACTTTCTGGACCCATATGTAGGAATGCACTCCAGAAACAATTTTCTGTAACAATATATTGGGACCCATATGTAGGAATGCGCTCCATAAACAATTTTCTGTAACAATACAAAATTGGAAAATAATTGGTAATAAGTTAGTTTTGGTCTAGAAAATTAACAACAAAATGATGGGGCTATAGGGATTGTCAAAAATTAGTTAAGTAAAAAAAAGAGAACATTTGGGATTTGGCTAAAAAAAATGGAGTACAAATTCTGATGTGTGTACTATACAAAATAAAATGTGGGTGTGATCTGAATCACTTTTTCTTACATTGTTAACTAGCAATTGGGGGAATGCAGTTTTTGGGGGAATATCAAAGAAGTATTTTTTAGGAATTTTTTTTAAAAATTATAAAATACGTGGTGATTTTGGTTTCATAAAGAAGACTCTTTTAAGATCAGTTAGAAAATTTGGAGTTTTTAATGAAGTCCAAAAAATATAAATGTCTTTGAAGTAATTGTATTTTAATCTTTATGGGCTAGAATTCCTAATATCCTTGGATATGATTGGTCCAAAACGAATGGGTGGAAAATTTATCTTCTTTTGCTGGAAGATAGGTTTTAATTTTAAAGTTGTGTCACTTGATTTGATTTAATTTCTAAATATTTAATAAAACTCATGGGTATATGAGATAAGAAATTAGTTTATATTTGGTCAAGTAATAGATTTATTTCCTCTCGCATCTTTATCTAAGTTATTATAAAAGGCGCTAGTCAGACGGAGCATATGTGAACCTTGCTCATAGCCATCAGATCTGAGTAGATGGTTAAGGTGGCTTGAGTCGCAATGTGTCAAGCTAGCTTTTAACTGTCATATCTTGATCAAATAGGTTATAGTGATTTTTTTATTTTTTTATTCTACAAATAATTGTGAAGTAAAATTTGAGGCATGCATAGATCCGGCAGAAGCGCAGACAGAGGCGCATATGATAAAAATAATAAAACATTTCTGATCATGAAAAATTATCAGAATAGCCCTAAAATTGTAGGGGTACCCAAAATTTCATTCGAAGTGTTTTGTAGAAAATAAATAAATAAATAAAACAGCGTTTGGCATGAACAATAGCAGGTGTCATATCTTGATCAGATAGATTATAGCTATTTTTTTATTTTTTATTCTACAAATAATTTTGAAGTAAAATTTGAGGCATGCATAGATCCGACAGAAGCGCAGACAGAGGCGCATTTGATAAAAATAATAAAATATTTCTGATCATGAAAAATTATCAGAATAGCCCTAAAATTGTAGGGATGCCCAAAGTTTCATCCAAAGTATTTTGTAGAAAATAAATAAATAAATAAAACAGTGTTTGGCATGAACAATAGTAGGTGTTCGATTCAAATCGAACGGCTAAGAAGTTGAGTCACATATAACTGATATGTTGTTGGATCACATACATTTCCCCGGTAGGTAAGGGTTCCGAGAAGAGCTTAAGTGATTTTTTGTGAGGCGTCATTTTTATACTAATTGTATAAAAATTCCAGTAGGATTTTCCCATTATTATTTTTACGTTTATGTGGGCTTCTCTTTATTCCATCTGGACTTGCATTCATTCTTGATTTGTTTTGGCCAGCCATATTCTTATTTATCTAGGAAACTTATAAATACCCATGGTCTTGCCTTGTAGGCAATGCCTACCCTCCGCACCTTTTAATTCACACCATCACTAACTTTAATGCTATATATTATTATATCTAACTCCCAAATAAAAAATTAGTTTTCTTGAGACGAAAATACCCTTAATGCTTAAACCCACATTCAGTCTCATCTCTTTACTCTCTCAAGGATTTCAAAATTTTTAGAGACTTTCTTTTTAGAAACTTGAAATTTGAAATAATTTATATATTTATATTTTTTGATATAGTTTATGATGCAGAAAAGTATGACAGCAAAGAACAAAGCTAAATACAAGCATAATTAAAAAAACATAGTATCTCTTCTCTACACCTAAGCTAGAGTTGCAAAAGCATAAGTTTTTATTTCTCTTTCAATTTTCTAAAAACCATATGGAATGACCCCTTTAAAGCCCAATAATCCTCTTATATATTACAATTTTATGTTCCAAGTATAAAAAGTATCCAAACGTACCATATATTCTAACTTAAACTTGAAATTCGTAATGATAGGTTTACCACTATGAATAGTACCAATAAACAATCCTCGTGTACAGTAATTGTGAATAGTACTCATAAAATAAATAAATAAAAAATCTCTAGAATACCTAAAAAACAAATAAATCTTTAAAATAAACACTAAAACTAAAATTATCATATAGAAACTTCAAATTTGGAAAAAAACTAAAAATAAGAATAATTTTTCCATCCATCATTTTACCTTGTTTGGAGAAAACTCGTCTTCGGGTTTAGAAGTGTGCTAAAATGAATTCAACATCAAAACCACATTTTTCAATTTTTTTTCTTAATTTGTTTAAATACTGTTTGTGATAAACATAATTCCCAAATAAATGGATCTTGATGTGTATATGGAGGAATCAGTGCAACTTTTTCTAGTCTTTAGAGGTTTTCTAGACATCTATTTCATGACTTTCTGAAATCAAGGCCACAATTCACAGTTTATGAGTTGACTACATTTCATCTACGCTACCCTGATTCCAATACCCTAAATTTTTTGAATGTTCTACCTATATTAGTGAGATCTTCAAAAGCCATGATTTGGATTAGTCTTCCTGTTGTCTTCTCTCTATATTCTTCACCCTCTCCCAAAATATCGCATCAACATTTCGATCCTTAATGTAGATTAGATGTCATAAGAGATTTTGTTGTTCATCTGAGTATATCGAAGATTGGTAGTGAATCTCAATCTACAACTTGTTGATTTTTGCGTTTAGTCTAAAGCACAAATATAATTTCATTTAAAACCCATCAACTTCAATGTTTGAAAGGTTATGGAAAATTGGAACGGCAAGGTTTTGACTATTTCGATCAACGTCCTGCCTCCCAACATATTTGATATTTTTTTTTTTTGTCCACCCGCCAAATACAAAAGTAGACATCTTTAGGGCCAAAATAGCATCTATAACCACGCTTTATAAGAATGACGTGAACATAGAGCCAGTCCAAATGGATAAATGTTGGGTGTGACATTGTAGAGATAGGTTAAATGTGGGGGAGTTTAGTCTCAAAAAAATAATTTTTTTGGCTTGGGAGTAGTTGGGGAAAAAAAAAAAAATTGTGCTATTAAAATTTTTTTTTTCTTTTTTGCTTTGTTTTTTTTTGGGGGGGGGAGGGGGGAGGTGGGAGGTGGGAGAGGAGGAGGATGCCAAAAAAGTACAAACTTGGGGACTTCTATAATTTTTTATTAATTTTCGTAAAATCTGGTCAAACCAGTTTGACCAACAATCAAATTAATTTTGACAGAACCAGACTCTTTACTTGTTCGATAGCCGGTCCAATTTTGATAACAAGTCGGGCTTTTTGTGGTTTTGAAACTATTGCAATCATATGCATGAAGTAGATTTGCTCAAATCCCAATTTGCTCATGTCTCGCTGGACTACTTACCTATTCACTTGAAGAGCGAAGGATGGGTATTGTGGAGGTAAAGTTGAAACAAGGCTTTGATGATGATGAATTATTGAAGATAAAGTGCATTGCTTTTCAAGCCCATCACTTCATCAAATGTTGGTGCTTCAATGGATTATGGTTCTTTGGTAGTCCATTAACTCATATTATGCATACTGAAAAGTAAGAACTAAAAGATCGGCTAGGCCACAAGATCCAGTTACACTTTCTCCGGTAAAAATTTAATCAAATGACGCATATTCTTTCATTTCTCCAGCAATATAAAGCACAACCCTTGATGTGAAAGACAAATTATGTTACGTGAATTTCTGAAATCCAAAGGAGAGATAGACATTACAATATTGAAGCTTTATACTCAAAACTCCCTCGGAGAACATATTCTATGATCAAAAAGTTAAAAGTAATGATTTCATGAGGCTTTTTTGTACCATCAAATTTGGCACATATTTTTAAAAAAAATTAAATGATCACCATCAAATTTGGTACAGATTTTTATAAATCAAATCCCGCACTCATGCGATAACTTTTTTAAAAATCTATACCAAATTTAATGTTTATCTTTTAGAGTCCTACTAAAATAGATGTGAGAGGATCTCGCTCATTTCTCAAAAGTTAACGACTCTCTCTCTCTCAATTGAACCTACCATCTTATTGAACGTTACACATGTTTCACGCTTAAAACTTAGAAGAAGCAATCAAAATTAGCAAACACCCTTGCTCTTTTAGGATTCTAAAAATAGAACAATTGCGTATTTTGGTTAACAAAGTAGGCAAAAAGTACTTGAGTGAAATGATCTGTATGGTAGGATCATTTTCTT